TTAAAAAAAAAAAAAAAAAAAAAAAAATTAGTGTTCGCATTGGTTTTAGTAAATATTAAAATTTGTGTCCATGATTTGCTTGAAATTAGTTTCATTGAAATTGATTAAATAATTTGGTCAAATTACAGTTTAGCTTCTGAAATGATAGTATGTTTCTTCAAATCTTGGACAAAATCAAAATTTTTAAAAATTAATTGTCTTATTAAATATAAATATAATTTTTATATCTAATATAATTCTAAATTTTTCAATTTTGAATCTAGCATATGAGTAATTTTTTAATAAAAAATAAAAGTTTTTTTATGCTAAATTTGTAATTTTGAAAATGGAATGATTAAATAGGCAAATTTCAAATTTATTTCAAATTTCAAATTTTAATTTATAATTTAACCTTATAAATTCCATTCAAACTTATTACAGAATGAAGGCTAAATTGTTTTTGAAAATGTTTAATTTGTGAATAAAGAATGAATAGAGGAAGGCTAAATTGTTTTTGAAAATGTTTAATTTGTGAATAAAGAATGAATAGAGGAAGCAAATAAAGAAAAGAAAATGAAGTGTCATCGCCTTCTTCCACCCATCAATAAATTAAAAATAAGAATTAAAAAGAAGATATGAAACAATACTAAATAACTTTTATTGCATGTCACGTCGCACATATCTACATTACAAATCGGGTCTATATGGTAAACCAGTTTCTGGCAACCAACTTTTATTGCATGTCACGTCGCACATATCTATATTACAAATCGGGTCTATATGGTACACTAGTTTCTGGCAACCATGTAGTCCCATTAATAAATTGTCGTACTGTGAATTGAGTGGCTTCTTTTCGATTCTCTATTACATGGAATCCTGGCCATTTGACTCTTCTGGATAAGTTAGCCCCCGGTCCTCTATTGCCATACTCCATAAAATAATAATTTCAGAGAACTACTATTGGACCATTCTGACCATCCGGCGGGATTCACCACTGAGTCTAGAAACGATTCCATGAAAACCACAGTGGAATAGTCTCTCCAAGGACGGCCAAGAAATACAATCGTTTCATTTACTGGCCCAAGTTTAAGAGAGGCCATTACACTGCAATTCTAAAGCGAAAAGCCACTCAAATCATCTGGGTGCTCTTTAGACTGTGCAGTCATGGAATCATCTGGGTGCTCTTTAGACTGTGCAGTCACGGTAACAGTCTACAATCCTGAAAAACAGCACGAGCGTTTCCAAATAAATTTACATTATCACTCGTTAGGAGAGCGACTGCTTGGCAGTGTTTAGGTCCAGCTCCAGCCGAATTTGAAAATGTAATAGAAATAGCTATAAAGTTGTTTGCAGCCACAACTACGAAGTTAGAGAGAATAATAATTATTAGAAGTTCAAACTTCTAATAAATTGAAATAATATAAGAAAATGAAAAATAACAAAATTTAATCTCTTTAAAATGAAAAAATTAATATCTAACCCAATAAAAATTGAAAGGAGAAATTGAAAGAAAAAAAATGTCTCTACCTTGTAAATTTATATATTTCATATTTTAATGCTATAAATTTATTAAAATAAAGAGTGGTTATTAGTATTAAATATAAAAATTGTATTTATATTTAATAATAATTATTTGAAGAAAAAGTTTATATATTTAAATATTTTAATCGTATAAATCTATTGAAAAAAACAGAGGGGAAAAATTATATTTATATTTAAGAAAGAATTAATTTTTAAAAATTTTGAATTTGTCAAATTAAAAGTACAGAAATCAACATCATTAAATAGACATTCTAAAAACAAATTAACACAGACATTCTAAAAACAAATTAACACAATTATAATCAATTTCAATAATAATTGTTCCAAATAAATCATGACACTAATTTTAATATTTAGTTAAACAAATAGGGTCATTATTCATTAATTTTTTTAAAAAATAATTCGTACTTGAGAACCTTTAACTTCTCATTTTAAAAAATGGTTAAACCCCTTTTTTTTATCTCTAAAATATATATATATTTAATAATGTTTTCTTTAGAAGACAACTTTGAAAGATTCACAAATGTTTAGAAACTGCTTACCAAAGGTGGCTGAATCTGATGTTCCAAAGCCAGTGGCCTGGCTTCGGTTACCTACTATAGTTGTGGTAGATGCATCATCACCCCACAATGTAATGAAGGTTTTCGACGATTCGATTTTTATATATTCAAAATACATTCCAGGTTTAACATGAATGTTAAACCTGGAGTTACTGTTATTCGGTGCCGCTGCTAAAATAATCTCCCTCCCCGTCCAATGAGACGGTTGCATTATAAGAAATGCAACTACAGGAGGATGGAGGATGTAGTACAAAAAAATGTAATAAAGAAGAGGATGAAAAGGCTAGACATTTTGAAGACGTATGGAGTTGCAGAGATTGAAACTTAAACGAGCGAGATTGAGAGCGAGATTGAGAGCAGGATTGAGAGCAGATTGAGAGCAGATTGAGAGCAGATTGAGAGCAGATTGAGAGCAGATTGAGAGCAGATTGAGAGGTGCAGATTGAGGTGTGTTTCTTACACACTTCAATTTACACTTATATAGGAAAGAGAAGAGAGGAAAATGGAAGAGGGGAAATAATGTGTATTTCTCCTTATAGCAAAGAAAATGTTATATGTCACTGTCCATTCACATTTGTAAATAAGGAGTTAAACATCACTCTCAATTCAATTTGTAAACCCAATCAGTTAAACATCACTCTCATCTACCTTTTGTAAATGAGAGGTTAGATGTCATTTTCATAAGACAAAAGAGACAAAGACAGACAGAGAAGAAAGAAAAATTGAAAAAGATGGATAATACCAAAGTTTTCCGGCGAGCGTAACCCAAACTCCGGCGACTTCGAATGCGTCAGTCTCCAAACCCTTAGGCCTCACCTGTAACGACAGAAACCACGAAATAAAGAGAGAAAGGAGTGGAAGACGAAAGTTAGCAAAGAAGTTACAAACACAGAGATGGAGAATACCGAAGTTTTCCGGCGAGTACTCCGGCGACTTGGAAAACAGCCTCCCACGAATTTCACCTGTAAGGACAGAAACCACGAAATGAAGAGAGAAGAGCGTGGAAGACGAAATTTAGCAAATAATTTACAACAAACACAGAGATGGAGAATACCAAGTTTTACGGCGACCGTAACCCAAACTCCGGCGACTTCAAAAACGTCAGCCTCCAACGAACCCTTAGACCTCACCTGTAAAGACAGAAACTATGAAACAAAGAGAGAAAAGAGTGGAAGACGAACGGTTTTGTCTCGTCGGACATAAACGCCGGCGAGACAGAGACTAGCAAAAGAAAGACGAACAAACCTGCAGAGAGTAACACAACCATTATTCTGGGAAGAGAGGACTAACGAGACCGAGCCAAGGAACACCTTGATGCACACGAGTGATTACTACCAAACGAGGCATAGGTTTGTCGGCAAAGAGGATGAAGTGATTGAAGAACCAGACAAAGGGTCGTCTCCTTCCGTTCTCGCGGCGGCAGAAACTAAAAGGTTAGGGTTTGTTATCTACTTTTTTATTTTTTTCCCAATGTTTAAAACGGCCCAACCCATCTCCAAATGTTTAACCCATCATTTTAAACGGCACAACCCGGGCAGAGGCACGCTTCGAACCTCGGTGGACGCAGATTTACCCTTCTATTTTTCAGGACATGACACGTGGCGTGCAGCGACTGGCAGTAGGTTTCGGGTTGGACCGTGGGTCGGTTTCCGGTTTGGGTTTCTGGGTCGCAGTCGTACGCGTCTCCCTCCTGTTCGGCCGCCACGTGTTCGTCGCCGATTGCCTGAGTTCATCCCATTTACAGATTCCAGTCGAATTCCACACCAACCTATTTAATTTGGATTTTTCTATCTTTCAATCCGTAACTCGAATGAATTCGATTCCTTCACGAGAATTCAAGATCTCAAGTCGAACTATCTAGATATATTTTTCTTGCATTTTTTGATACCGACAACGAGATCGAAAATTAGAAAAGATTCAGTTTCTTATCGAGGTTGACGATTATCGATTTCATTTTCCAATTCGATTATGGCCACGATTCCTCCGAAAAATTGGAAAAATCCTTACAACTAGATTATTAAGACCTAAATTATCCGAAACTTATAGATCTATGGCGAAACAAACGAGGTCGCAGACTTACCTCGCGTTCTTACCCGTTAATTACTTGAAACGAACGATCCAAATGCTCAGACCGCTCCTCTTGATCCTCTGAATAGATCTGATAAGAGACCTGAGATCGAGAGCCCTTCCCTCCTTCTCCTTCTTAAAATCTCTAACTCCTCCTTTCTCTCTCTCTTTTTCTTTTCTTTTCCTTTTCTTTTCTTGCAGATCTGTGCAGACCCCTCAAGTTGGTGTGTGGGGAAAAATTACCTTTTTGCCCCCATTTGACTTCGGCCCGAATTTTTTTTAGTAAATCACCATTTTAAAAAAAAATTCTAAGCTTCTCGATGTGTCCGGAACATTTTTTCCTTCTACACCAATTTGAGAATCACGCTCTTAGACCACCAATAAAATCTAGAAACTCGTAAAAGTTAAGAGGGTGCTAGGCATAAAATAGTGTGAGTTGTACCTGTTGAGCTCGAGGTGTTACATAGCTCCTTGTGACTAATCCAAATCTCTAGGGGCACTCAGGTGTAGAATTACTGCTCATGATCTTGGGGTGCAAGGTTTACTGGAAACATTTGACCTAGGTCCACGTGTAAACAGCACTAGTTGTAGTGCCCTAAACTTAACTGAGTTCTCTCATGCGTGTTTTGCTAGGGAGACCTATCGATCACCTAAGCCCGTAATCCATAATTTAAACTTCGCCTTGGTCCTTTTTCTGGGAGATGAGGAAGTCTATTGAATTCCTACCGCAGTTAGGTGGCTTAAAACGGACTTATGGATCGAGGTTTATCTATTATGACTCATCGAGTCTTTTTAGTCAGGAAGCTTTAGAATCTACACCTTATTACTAACCCTTACAATCATGAGGTTATTGGTCAACCAAAGGTGGGATTAAAAAAAAAAAATGTCTACCAGTACAATGTAATCGTACTAATTCTCATTTAAAAATAAACAAGTAAATGTTTCTAGTAGTTCATGTTTTGGCCGAAAATTAAGAAAAAAAAAAATGGTGAGAAGACTAACCTCAATCTATCTTACTTTTCTTTTTTCATTTTCCGTTTGTTTTAAATATTTATCAAATTAACCATAAATTTAATGAAAAAGAGTTATTTTTAGAAGGAATTAGAAAATTAAATCTATTATATGGAAGGATTTAAGTTTGATTTTTTTTTTCTCAAATAATTAATTTTGATGTGATATTGATTTAAAATATACATAATTGGTAGGATATATATGATTCATTATTTTAAAATAAAAAATTATTTACTATCAGATAGATGTTTCAATGTCGGTGTTAAAAATCTTAAGACACATGTCATCAATCAAGATTTTTATACTTTTCTTAAATATAAAAAAAATTTGAATATTTTCCATCCATATAAAAAAGATTTGAATATTTTCCTTCCATATAATTGAATATTTTCCTTCCATATATAAAAAAAATCACATGAGTTATACTAGAATGAAACAATAAACCTAAAATAATCAAAATTCAGTTTCAAAATATTGATGAGGTTTCATTTCCTAGAAATGTGATTATTAACTTTCCAAACCAAGCTTTGGAGAAGACATGGAAAGTTGTTCTTTATTACCTATAAAAATGAGTACAAAGTGTTGAAATGGAAAAGAAAAAAAACGAATACCATGATGAAAAAACTCTCTTGTATCCCTTTTTTATTTCTTTTGAGTTGTTTGTGTCTCGTTTCCCAAATACATCAAACTGCAGCCTCACATGATTTTGTCAGAGACGCCTGTAAGAAGTATGTAAAAGTAGAACAAAATTTTTGCTATGATTTGGTAGTTTCAGATCCTCGTGCAGACTTGAAATCAAACTTCTCAGGACTCCTGGCTATCTTCATAAACCATTCCATTGCATATGCCTCTGATACTCATAAGTACATCGTGGAGCAGCTGAAGAGGTCAGATTTAAGCAACATGTCTCGTCAGGCTTTCAAATTATGCGATACTAAGTACAAAGAAGGCATAGATGATTTTAAAGCATCGTTACAAGATTTGTTAAATGACCCTAACACAAGTATGGTTGATAGTACAAATTTGGCAGCGGGTGCTTTTTATGCGTGTGACTTAGAATTTGGCATCTCCGTACCATATCCACCATATTTGATGTCTCGTTGCAAACGCTTAAATCCAATGTTGGATCTTGCATTGGGAGCTGCAAATTTCTTACAATGCAAGCATGTTCTTCCTTGCTAATTTGAGTAAAAAATGCTCCTTCATTGAATCCCAACCATACATGTGATTGTGAATTCAATGAATCAATAATATATTTTCTTCTAAATTTAGATATTCTCATATGAATTATTATCCTTATGAAAAATAAATTGCTTTATACTATATTTAAAAGTCTCTCATCATCCAAGTATTTTAAAATTAAAAACTAAAATTAAATATTACGGATTCAAATCAATCTTTGGAGAAGACAGTCAAAATTGTTCTTTATTATCTATAAAAACGAGGAGCTGAAAAAGAAAAGAAAAAAAAAAGTAAAAACGAACGTGATGGTGAAAAAACTCTCTAGTATCATTTTTTTATTCTTTTGAGCAGTTTGTGTCTCATTACTCAAATACATCAAATGACAGCCTCAGATGATTTTGTCAGAGACACTTGTAAGAAGTACGAAGAAGAAGAATGACATTTTTGCTTTGACGTGGTAGCTTCAGAGCCTCGCGCAGACTTGAAATCAAACTCCATAGGACTCCTAATTATCTTCATAGACCATTCCATTGCATATGCCTCTGATAGTAATAAGTAAATCGTGGAGCAGCTAAAGAGGTCAGATTTAAGCAACATGACTCCAGAGACTTACGAGCCTGCAAAAGTTACTACGAATGGGGCATAGACCTTCTTCAAGAGACGTTATACAATTTTTTACATTACCCTGACAAGAGTTTGATTAACGCTACACATTTTGCGTATGTCATATTTCAAACCTGTGAATCAATATTTGAGAGCGTTGCACCATAACCATCATCTTCGTTGTCTCGTTACCAAGGCTTACAACGACTTATGGAGCTTACAGTTAGAGCTACAAATTTCGTTTTATGTAAGAAAATTGTTTCTTATACTCCATTGCATTCAAACTAAAAGAATGCTTCCGTCTTCGTTGAATCTCAACAACATATATGATTTGAATTCAATAAATCGATAATATTTCTTTAGAAACTTAAATGGTATTTAAAAATTCTACCATAAAAATACTTGTCTTTTAAGTTTATTAAGATAATTTGAGGCAAATTTTATAAGAAAATAATAAATATTAAATGGTTTTTCAACACTAATTTTTAAAATAATTCAGTGAAAATTTGATTATATTATGTTTCGATAATCATCTACATAATTATCTTATTTAAATTTATTACTTTTCTTATTTCTATGATTGAAAAATGAAAATTCTCTATAAAATATTGGTTTGATGCCCGTAGATAAAAGAACCTAGTTGATTTTTTGAAATAAAAAAAATATAAATAAATAAATTTAAAAAATTCTTTTAATTGGAAGGGATAATTTTTCTATTTTTTTTTTTTGTTCAACACCTTCGTGAAATCATAGTGAAAAGTTACTTGGCAGATTCTTCCACAAGATACATGAAGTCCTCAAAGATTGGAAGAGCGACCCCTTGTGGATCGCTACTAGTCAACCTATGTGGTCTTACACTCCCTTCTTAGGAACGAGTTTATAGCACAAAAGCAGGAAATCGCTAACCATTTTCACATGGTGAGGGCACCTGGTCCTCTCGGCATACCTCCCTAAAGATGATTGCAATATGGCTTTTAAAAAAAAAAAAATTATAGACCAAAATAAAACAATTATTTCGTGAAAATAAAATAAATTTAACATTTTAAGCATTAAATTGGGATTAAAAACTTTTTTTTTATTAGATCTATATATTTATCTTACTCGATGGTTTGAAATCGATAGTTTATTGTCAAATTTAGAGTATAAATTACATTTTAAAAAATAAATAATTTTAAATAATAAAACTAATTAAAAGTAAAGAAAAAACTCAATTAAAATAAAATAAATGGAAGAGAGAACCCAAAACCTTCGTCTACCTTTCACTACGTGCTCCACTTTCTTCTTCTTCACGACGGCTCCTCCCTTTCTGCAGTTCAGTGTCGCCGCCGTCTTTCTTCCGTCCGTGCTGACGGCGTTTTGTTCCCCGTGTGCTGTCGCTTCCTCATAGCCGGCTGCACTTATTTTTTACTTTATTGTTTATTTTTCAAGGTATTCTCTCAATCTCCATCTGTCTTTATTCTCCTTTGAAAACTCAAATTAGGGTTTTGTAGGGAAAGAATGGAGGTGCTGTTTTGAATTTATAATTTTATTACAATAGCAGAATAGCAACGAGAATATTTTCGAACTGTGCTGCCCTCTGCCCTTTGATTTCTTGGTTTTTTCTGTCAATTGAGGCTTTGATCATCTGTATATCTGTTTGGTCTCTCCTGAAATTTGCCTAGTTTCTACGACCAATTGTCTTTTAGTCCCTAGCTCTTAGGAGTTATTTTGATCGACAGAACAAATTTAACCATATATATTTATACAGAATCTAGCTGAACTGATAATATAGAACAGCTTGTGGCTTATTGTAAGGCTCTTCAATATGGCAAATGGCCCCGGACTCGAATCTCTGGTTGATCGTAAGTAATCTCACTTATAATCCCTCAAATTGTTCAATTTTTTAAAATTGACTTTTCCTTTATTGTACTATTCCAAATCTTCTCATCCGCTTGCACTAAAATTTTCCTCTTAATGTTTTTCAGAAACAATATCAGTTATCACAAATGACGGTAGCAATATAGTGGTATGTTCATGAGCTATCATCCGGTTGACTTGTATTTCATCCACCCAATTTGTGTTTATACTAATGATACTTTATTCAGGGAGTGTTGGAAGGATTCGACCAGGCTACAAATATTATCCTCGATGAATCTCATGAACGCGTTCACTCGACCAAGGTTTGTACAATCATCAATGTAGCTAAGATGTCTTTTATCCACTCTATTTTATCAATGTGTTTGAACTTCCTATTAGAATAATTTCTGTGACATTTGTATTTTGAATGCGTTATCTGCTTCTGCTTCTCCTTTTAATGCATTTCTATTCTGTTTGTTCAAACAAAAAAATTTCATACTTCGCTGATTATTGTTTTCACCATAAGGAAAGCATATTTTCACGGATACCAAATATTACCTCATTTGCTAGACTCTGCCCTCATGCTGTGTTAGATTTCCTCCTTCTGAAG